GGCTGAGTTTCGAGGCTGATGGTCCTTCTGTGCCAGAGCTCCCCACCCACCCTATCCCAGCTTTTCTCTACATGTCTCTATCCTTTCTTTTCTCACTGCCCCAGTCACGGGAGTCCCAAAGCCCTGCAGGTGGCTACAGTGCATGCTTGTCTTTTTTTTTTTTCTCCCCCCCAGAGCTGAGGACTGAACCCAGGGCCTTGCGCTTGCTAGGCAAGTGCTCTACCACAGAGCTAAATCCCCAACCCCCCAGTGCATGCTTGTAATCCAAGCACTTGAGAGCCTGAGGCAGGAAGATTGTGAAGAGAAGTAGGTCATGGATCTGGAAGATGCTGCCAAGCCTCAAGACTGTGCTTTGTGTTGAAGAAGTGAACCTCAGGTGGTCCTGTTGGATTCGTAGGTGCTGAGGCACGTGCATGTGCACAGTTTTGCACGCACGTGCATATACACACACCGCATGCACACACTAAATGAGTGTAGGGACTATAGAAATTGCTTGGTGGTTACGAGCACCTGCTGTTCTCACGGAGGATCTGAGTTCAGTTCCCAGCACCTGCTAGAGTGGCTCACAACGGCCTGGAACCACCTCCAGGGTACCTGAAGTCCTCTGCTTACCTCTGTGGGCCCCTGCTTTCAGGTGCATAGACCCCACACAAACACATACACATAATTAAAAATACAAGTGAATTTTTAAAAAAGGTGGAAAAATAAAAAGATTAACAGGCTAGCCAGAACTACATAGAAAGATCCTGCCTGGGGGAAGGGGGATGTGTATAAAATATCCGTGTATGTTTTGACAGCAAATCGTTTTCTTTTTGCAAATTCTGAACAAAACCAGTTGTGCTTTGTATCTGGTGATACTGACAGTGTGTGCTTACAGCTTGCATAGTTGTCTCTTAAGGTTATGTTTGACTTCCTTTCTAAAACGAACTTTAAGTTTTCTTTCTTCTCTCCTCATTTAAATTATTATTTGTGTCTGTGTGGTCATGTGTGTGTACATGTTTGCGTGCTCTGTGTTCATGTGTGTTCAGGTAACTGTAGAAGCCAGAGGCCATTGTTGGGTGTTCTCCTCTTACTGCTCTCCAGCTTATTTTTGAGACAGCTTTTTTTTTTTTTTATTACACTTATGCGGCTGTTAGAGGACAGTGGGGATCACTTTTCTCTTTCTAGAGATTGCTCTCAGGCTGTCAGGCTTGGCAGCACGTGCCAGTTGACCCTTCTCACAGACCGGAGTTTTGGCCTTTTAAAAACTAAATGTAACTGTTTGGTCTGGATCAGAGCTTGTTGGTTTTTTTTTTTTTTTAAATTACTTACTTACTTTTTATTTCTACTTACTTACTTTTTGTTTCTTTTTCTTTTTTCTTTTTTTGAGGCAGGGTTTCTCTGTGTAGCCTTGGTTGTCCTGGACTCACTTTGTAGACCAGGCTGGCCTTGCACTCGCAGAGATCCCCCTGTGTGCTTTTGTCTCCCTAGTGCTGGGATTGAGAGTGCGTGTACCACGCCCAGCCAGAACTTGATTGTAAGACGAATCAGGGTTGGATTCCTAAGTGACAATCTTTCAGATTTTACTAAGGGAGATTAGGCTATTTTGCTTGTTGATCTTAAGAAATTTATGTAGTTTTTTTTTTTTTTTTTTTTTTTTTTTGCTAGTGTAAAAATTGTTGAGAAACAACACAGGGTTCCAAGAAGCCAGAGATTTCCTGTTTGAAATAGAGTTGGAAGAAGTAATTGTTATATGTGGAAGGGTTAGTGTCAAAGATGTGGAGATACATACTCTTTTGTCAGTGTCTTCTCACTCAGACTGTTTCTTCCTCTCTTTGCCCTCTTTCTTCTCCCCTCCTTTATTCACATTCCTCCCTCCTTTCCTTCCTCTCTCTCCTTTGCTTGCTTAGGATGGGATCCAGTGCCTCAGGTGTGTTAGTCTAGCACTGTGTCACTGAATTATGTTTCCAGCTCTCCATCTCTTATTCTTCTTTTGTTATTTTTTCAGGTTTTGGTGATGATTCTAAGCTATACAGTTTATAAACTTATTTAAGCTAGCATGAAACTTTTAGGATTTATCTTTCCTTTATTTTTATGGTCAAATGGATCGAACCCAGGGCTTTGTGCATTCTCGTGCTCTGCTGCATAGCTATCCTCACAGCACCAGGATGAAATTTTAAAAATTTAATTTAAATTTATTTTTTGAGGCAGGGTTCACTATATGGTCCTAGCTGGCTTGAAACTCATTGTGTAGACCATGCTGGCCTTGAACTCACAGTAATCTACCTGGCTTTGTTTCTAGTGCTGGGATTAAAACATGAACCACCACTTCCAGCTCCAATATGAACTTTTTAGCTAAATATAATTCCAGATTTTGTGATATGTTAGTATATTTTTCCTTTATTGTATAAGCATGCACACACACACACACACAAACAGAATGCTAGTCAGTTGAGATATAACCTTGAAATGTGTTACCTGGTAAACATGCTGCATTCTGAGTTCTTATCATTTATTTTCAGTTTTAAAGGCAGGTTTTTGTTTTATCACTCAGGCTTCTCTTGAGCTCACATCAGGTCTCCCATCTCAGTGTCTTGAGTGCTGGGATTACAGATATGCATCACCATGTCTAGCTTACATTCCATTTTGAAAATTTTTTAATAGAATGATTTTAAGTTTTCAAATACAACAGCATCTGTAAATTTTTTTTTTATGGCAACAGTTTAATTTTTAGAATGTCACTTGTCTCACACATAGATGGTATGAAAATTTAGGAGATAAAGTACAGTTTTATTTTAGTTAAGATGATTGCCTCTTAGTGTCTATAGGGAGTTGGTTTTAAGACTCCCAAGATGCCTGTATAAAGTATATACTTTATAAATCTGCATAAAGTAACATAATAGTTGTTTGTGATTTATATATATCTTTTTCTCTGGATGGATTGTGCTACCTAATACAATGTGAGCAAGATGTAAATTGTTGTATTATCCAGGGGATAATGACAAGAGAAAAAGTAGTCTACATGTTCAGTACAGGCGTGATTCTTTCCCCCCAAATTTATTTCTAAAGTTGGTCGAGTGTGTGAATGAAAAGCTGTGGATAAGGAGGGACAACAGCACTTTGAAAATGTCTATCCTGGATGTGCTCGTCTTAGAGATGCTGGTGATAAGTCATAGAGGTTCTTTTTCCATTCTCAGTCCTAGATACAAAGATTTAAGAAAGAGAGGACCGGGACATGTAGAGTGGAAGAAGCTGTTAATGACTTCCCTGGCTTCTTGATTTTCTTCTACTTCAAATGTCCTTTCACTTGGCACTTTCTGTGTGCTAGAACCTGATGCTGCAGAGGTAATGAAAAGACAGTCTTTCCCTGGGGTATTATTAGATAGGCAAGGTAGGGCTGCCATGGTTGTACTGCTGGAGTCATCTGTGGCTTGTAGTTTTAAGGAGTAGGAGAACAAGGCACCACCAGACATGTAAGTCATTGCCAAGCCCTGTGTAGACTGTCTCCTCTAACTGCCCATTTCCTGTGTCACAATCCATATTCTTCTCTCTCCTTGGACTGTTTTAGATGTCTCTTATCTGAGGCTACTCTGTTTCAATTGTAACCTACATGCTTGGCTTGATGCCACCGCTATTCCCCTAACCCCAAATTGAGAAAACAAAAAATTGCCTTCCTGCTTAGAAAAGCCACGGAAGTAATAATGATACTTTCTGCTTAGTCTGAGCCGATCACCCAGCTGGCTTTCCTGCGCTCATACACTTGGGGAGGTCCATCAGCAACCCCGAAACCACAGCCAGGTCTACCCTGCTGCCCAGGCGAGGTGCACGGCCTAACCTCCTGAGTATTGCATCTGGGGACATCACCAGTTCTCCCACTCTCATGACCCCAGGGCCAGCTTTCCTGCCTGCCATAAATTGTGCGGGATGCGGGAGGGGAAGAGGACATCTCTCCCTCATCTTCACTGCCACCCAACAGAGAGGCAGGGCTAGCTCTCCCGGGCTCATGCCCTAGTGGGCTGGGTCACCTGCAATAAGCCCTGTGTCCAGGGCCTGCTCTCCTGTGCTGCCCAGGCGAGGGGCAGGGACAGCTCTCCTGCCCTCATGATCCCAGGGCCAGGTCTTGCACCTACGTATGGCAGGTGGTAAGGGGCGAAGAGGAGGAGGTTATCTCTCTTTCATCCTCCCAGAGCCAGCTCTCCCACACTCATATTCTCAGGGCCCACTCACCTGTAACTCCTGCAATGTGCAGTGATGACTGAGGGTGAAGTGTCAGCTCTCCTGCTCTCCTGCCTCCCTGGATGCCCAGGTGAGGGGTGGGGGCCAATTCTGCACAATCTTCAGACATCAGCATGTCTCTCGGTGGCAGCCCAGACTAGGGATGTCTGCCAGGCCTTCAGCAGTAACAGACCTATGCTGCCGCAGGGCCATGGACCCAGATATAGTCCCTAGGGACACCACAGGCCAGGACTCCACCATGGTTCCAAGTGACATCACATCAAGCTGTTCCTCACTACCCTCGAGTCTCTAGTTCTGCCTCTCTTCCTTGTGCCCACATTCTTTTGTTTCTCTTTCTCTTCCATCTTCTCTTAGTGGCCTCTCTCATCTCTGAGTGTCTGGGTCACCGGAGTGGTCTCAAAAGTGCTATGCTCCATTTATGCATTATGACTTGGTAGGGATCATGTTGGGAATGGTCCGTATCTCCCCCCAACCCACACCTGCATGTTCCTGGGCTAGTGGTCATCTCAGGCTAGCTTCTTGTCTGGGCCACATAATGCCAGTCTGATGGTTGTCTTGGGCTTGCTCCTTGCTCCATCCTGCCCTAGTGGCCCTATGTGAGGTTTGTCTCAGGCTCACTTCCTCCTAGGGCCCGTGGTTCTAAGTGAGATTCTTCTAGTCTGCCACTTGCAGGGAGCTCCTCTGGGCCTATGCAGCACCTGACTGGTGGTCTCATCTCAGGCTAGCCCCTATCCAGGGCCCTGGCCTCTGACTGCTGGTCATCCCAAGGCTCCCTTTTTTCAGGGTTTGTTATGCTACCTATCGTTCAGATGTTCACAGGTCAGAACCCTGAGTGTAGACACAGCCTGTCCTCTCTGCCGCCTACTGACACACATGTGACATGGTGACCACACCAGCACGGCCTCTAGGGGCAGTTGTTCTTACAGTCTTTCTGCCCCATCTTCCGGAATGCTCCTTGGGCTTTAGCTTTTGGGAGTCACTTTGTGGATATATCCATTGGGACTGGGCTCCACTAGTCTGCATTTTGGGAATCTTGAAAATTATTAATGCTCTGATTAGAAAGTATAAGATCAGTTCCCTCAAAAGGAGACTTTTCCCTTCTTATTTAAAAAAACGTTTTTTTACCACATGAAATGATTTGTTGTAGGTATCCTTATTTTAGCTGTATAATCAAGCCCAAGTTAAATAAATTAGAATTTTAAGTAACAGCTTTCTGCATAGCACTTTTCTAGTCGGTGACCAACTGATAAAAAAAATCATCTTTTCTTAGTTTAAATTTATGTTCATTCTATAAAAAATGTTTTTATTACCTATAAGAGCAGCCTATACTTATTTAAATTTTATTTTAGGAGATTATAATGTTACTTTGAAGGAAATAAATTTTCTAGTTAGATATTTAAGTAATAAAAAAATAGAGAGCCAAGCACAGTGGTGCATGTTTGTAATTCTAACACTTGAGAGGCTGACACTGGCCTGAGCTTTCTAGCCAGACTCTTGTTTAAAAACAAAAAATTGAAACCAGTTTGGGCAGATATAGTGAGGGAAACTGAAATTTGTGCACAGTTTTTTTTTGTTTTGAGACTGGGTACCCTTGGCTCTCCTGGACTTGTTTTGTAGACCAGACTGGCCTTGAATTCACAGTGATCTGCCTGCCTTTGCCTCTCTGAGTGCTGAGATTATGGGTGTGTGTCACCACGGATGGCTCTGTGCACAGTTTTTGTATGGGTAAATAATGTATGTATTGTAAATGAGTATTTTTAAACTTAGGTATTAATGAAGTGATGTGGCCATATTTAAAATCTGCACACATGGGATCAAAGTGCATTTTCTGCCTTTGCTTTTCTTCAGTGCAGAGTTTGCTACTGTATGTCCTCTATACAAGGATTGATACTTTTCCTGTTGGTAGAAATGTAGAAAGCCAAAGTTGTTTCTGAACCACTCTGTGAAAGAGCAGTTCATTAAATTCCCTGCAACAACTTAACAAAGTGCTGTTTCCTCAGACCGCTTTGGAACACTTGGGATTTCTCAAAGTTTTGTGACTTTTAACTTACTCAGATCTCTACCATTCTTTTATTATTTTTTTGTCTTTGTATTTAGTAGCATGTTTTCAATATGAAGCAAATACACAGGTTAGGTTTTAAGCTTACAATTATGTAATTTTCTGAGTAGTTAAACTCTGAAGGAACATTAGAAATGTAATTATATGAAATGGCTTTGTTGATAAGCACCTGATCCATCTCTTATTTCTGTGAAAGTGTCATATTTCAGTGACCGTGGGATCTGTTTTTTGGGCAGACAGCAGGAGAAGGAAAATGACTCTTGTGGCTGGAGAAAGTGCAGTGCATTTTCCCATAGCAGACTCGTTCTTTTTCAGAGGATAATGGATTCCACACTGGTGACTCAGCCTCTTGTGGTCTTACAGGACCAGGCGCGTTATTGATTTTCATCATGGCAGTCTCGGCAATTCTCATACCAAGAAGCTGTTACAAATGGAGAATAACCAGACATTTCCACATTTGGGTTGTAAGAAAAGACTTTACCTCAACTCTTTTGGTCTATTACACATTTTTCTTGCTAGATGAACTATAACCCCTTTGGAAAATGGGTATAATGTGTTGTTACTTTTTGGTGCATGGATTGTGCCTCATGATCTACTTACTTAATTTAGACAATGAAGCTAAGTGTATTTTAAGAGTGGGAAAGATTCCCTATTTCAAAGTTTTCCACACACCAGATTCTAGGAATAGTCTTCTTCAGATTGTATTCTGGGCTTCCAGTCAGTTGATTGACCTTTAAGTCCTAATACCAAATACAAGTTTTGAGTTCCATCGAAGTCAAACATTTCAGAATAAACTTAAAGTAGGTTTTATAAATAAACATTTGGTGTTGGAAATATAGCTCAGTGTAATAGCACTTGACTCCTATGCACAAGGCTTTGAGTTTGATCTCCAACTCTCACACAGACACGTGAACACACAAAGACACACACAGATAGGACAGACACATGCACAAAGACAGGCATATACACAAACACACACAGACACGACAAACGCCTTCATAAACACACAAACTGACACAAAGAGACATACAGACACACAGATGCATACAGATAGATGCGTAGACTCATAGAGACACACTGAGACATAGACACACACGCAGGAACAGAATCCTTAGTAAAAACCACGCACTTTGATAACTGAGGAAGAACAAGTGCCTCCTGCTTTACGAGTGTCTGTCTTTCAGGTTTGTAAATCGTTCACTGAATACATGAGTGAAGTTAGTGTGCGCATGTGCATGCCCCGCCTGTGTGGGGGGTCTGGGTAGTTCTTGAGCTTAGGCCACTGAACCTGGCAACAAGTGCCCTTAATTGCTGAACAGCTCTCTGGCTCACATTCTTCATTAGAAAAAAAAAGAGCACAACTATGTAGTGAGCATGGTTTATTCTATCTTAATATTTAATGGATTTGGATATTGTCAAATAGTTGAAACAAAACTTAATTTTGTAGGTTTTTTCCTCCTTTATTACTGGGAATGAACTTTGTGCATACTTTGCAAGCAGTCTTTCTAACACTGAGCCTAGCCTAGGGTAAACTTCTTTCTAAGGTTGTCCTTTCCTTTTGTACACTTTAAAGAACACTACTTGTGTTAAATGTATTTATCATTACAGAATGATTTTATCTTTTGCCCTGGAGATTAGGACTCTTTGGTTATGGACTGTCACTCTTAGTAAAAATTTTGTGGCTGTTTCCCTTTATTATGCCTTGTGTTATAGATAGTTTCGTATGTATTATTTAAAAATTTTGTGGCTGTTTCCCTTTATTATGCCTTGTGTTATAGATAGTTTCGTATATATTATTTAAACTACTTTTGTCTAAGTTAACAACTCTTAGTATCTAGGTAATATCTTGACTGGGATAAAATTATCTAATCTTTGGACTCATATCAAGGTCTCATCCTATAGCCCTGATCTACATAGAATTCCAGACTAGTCTCAAACTCACAGAACCCACCTATTTCTTCTTCCTGAGTTCTGGGATTAAAAGCACTATCATGCCTGAACCTATAACTTATGTTTTAAAAAAGAGCACAAATTTATATTTTCCTTTTATTTTATTAATTCTATTTGTCTTTTAAGTCCTTTTCCCCTTTCCTGTTAAAGTAATCTACGTTCCTGTCACAAAGCAGATTATTGCTATAATTTGAGCCAGTAACTTAAGTTTGAGGTACCAACGTTTGTTTAGAAATTTTTTATTTAGCTGGCTTTGGTAGTGCAGGCCTGTCATCTTAGCTGTTTGGAAAGCTGAGGCAGGAGAATCACAAGTTCAGTGCTTGCCCTGGCATAGAGAGTCAGTCCAGACCAATCTGGGCAACTTAGTTAAATCATGTCTCAAACCGGAAAGTAAAAACGGAGGGGCAGGATGGTCCTGTGGGTAAGGGCTCTTGCCTCCAAGCCTGGTAATCTGAGTTTGATTCCCAGAAGCCTTATGGTGGAAGGAGAGAAGCAACTCAAGGATATTGTTCTTTGGCTTCCACACTTGTGCCATGCCATGGTGTGTACATGTGCCTACATTCACGCATACACACATGTATAGATAAATTAATAAAGATTTAAAATAATTATTTTTAAAAGGTTAATAAACAAGGATTGAGGCTGTATATAGCTTAATCACCAGTAAACACACACACACACACACACACACGAACACACACATGAACGCACACATGCATGCACATTCATGTTCTACATCTGAGCAAGTGAGTCTCATCTTCATGGCTTTTAAAAAGTGTTTTCTTCAATAGTGTCTTGGGGGTTTTAGACAGCTTCAAGTAGATTAGCAGGGCAGAATGATTAAGTGTTTCAAGGGACTGCATGGTAATATGCTTCTATATATTATGGTATGTTTTTAAAACGTTCTTTATATAACTTTTCTTTGCGTCTCACCAAACATTAAATTCTAACTAATTGGTCAGAAAGTTTTGCTGAGCTGTTCAAGATCATATACATACAAAGTAAGATATGGAGGCAGGCAAGGTAGCCTAGCAGTAAGAGTGCTTACCTGGCATGGGTGAGGCCTTGAGTTCAGTCCCCAGTATAAACAGGGGAGGAGGGGAATTGATATCCAAAACGTCGAAGAAAAGAAAACTAAAAAATTTTTTTCTTATGTTGCAGTTTGCAACTGAGTGGTATATAGAAGTAGCTTATTCTGTGTATAGATGTCACACAGCTGAAAGGCGCCTCAAAAATCATATAGCTGGCAACTTATTTTAATGGATCAGATTACACTTTTTTTTTTTTTTTTTAAGGATTTTTGGTATTGGAACTTTACAAATTCAAAGTAGTTCCTCCCTTTCCCCAGTTGAATGAAATTAGTAAAGTTAAGAAGTTTATATTTAAGGATTTAGGCTGTGCAGTTCTTGTTACCCCTCCCCACGTTCAAGCAAGCCCACTTGTTTATCACTTGTCTTGTTAATTTATGGGTGAAATGGCCATTACCACATCTCTGTAGCTCCAACCTATATCATTTAAAGTGATGCTTGAGCTTATTTTCCAATGTGTGTAGATATTTTAATTTTTTAGGACTTTAAGTTTTTGTGTTGGAAGAAATCTCAGAGAGCATCTATTACATACTCTTATTTTGTAGATGAATAAACTAGGGTCCAAGGCATTAAATGATGGGTCTAAATCTCTATGTCTCTAAACCATTTTACTTGTTGGAATCCTCAGTGACTTAATAATGATAGAGACCTTAATTAATGCTGTCTGATTTCAATGTTACTTGGCAAACTACCAGTTCATTAATGTGTTGGATGTGTTTTGTGCTTTCATACTTCATTTAATGGTCAAGTAGTGAAAACTCAGAATTTATGGTGAGTTGTAATTAGCAGTCATTTTTTCTAAAACCTATCATTATCTG